CCCGGAGAGGGAGGATCCCGAAACTCACGGAACGGAGATAACGATTCGGGCGTCCAAGACCAAGGTGTGTGTGCGCGGCGGGGGAGGGGGGGAAGGCCTGGCGGGAGAGTGATGCGGAGCCAGGAGAGAGCACCGAAACCAAAAGCGGAGCGAAGGCAAAAGAGAGCACTCTTCCGGGTGTTCTTACCTATATACTGGGCATGACGTGCATGTTATGGAATAAATCATTGGCTATTTTGAGTTTCAGTCTTAACATAAGGGCAAATCCTATGCTAGCAACCGGCTGTGCCTCTTTGCTCGTCTGCTGACCTTGGCAGCAGAATAAAACATCGGTCTTATCAGCTTCTCCTGAGCCCAAATCCAAAACACAGCCTCTTGCTAGCTATTTATGAAGAAGAAGGGAAAAAAAAAAAAACTAACAGAGTTAACTTTAAGCAGTCTGTGCTTAATCCACGACACCAACTTTCAATCAACTATTAATTAACTTAATCTTAATGCAAATTTTGTCTAGTATCTGCACCAAGAACAGCAGTGCACCTGTCCACTCTACCCGATACTATAAAACTTGCATGTGCTTAAGCTTGTAAGTGGTGTATTTAAGCTTTAACTCAAAACTGGAATGTATCAGATTTTACGTAAAAGAAATTTGAAAAATTTTTATAAGCACACACCTACAATTTTAGAAGTTAAGTTCATCAGCCTACCTCACAGAGAATTTAAATTAAGACAGAAAGTTACCCAAAGTCCCTCAGTAAGGATGTTTCTTTCACAAGGTAAAACTGATATTGGGTAAATTAAAATACTTGCTCTGAATTTTTATCCTGTATCGGCTGGGTTAGTTTTCTCCAGGGATTGTATGCAGAGTCTATACTGTAGAGGCGCATGTGCATGGCCAACACATGGAACAGCTGATCTGAAAAGGGAAAATGATACATTGATGATTATTATGTACAATAATATGAAGTATTTTGCGTTTAGTTGCCATAATTTATTTTACAAAACTCTGAAAAATCTTATTCCAAATAAGCTGGTATCCTAACAAGCATCTTACTTTTTTTATTTTTTTAAAAGATTTTGAAGAGAAGTAAGATTTCAGTAGAAGGCAGTGAACATATGCATGTATATGAAAAAAAATATTATTTTTGCTCTCCTGAAATTCTGAAACAGAGAAAGGCTGTTTAGAAGCTTCAACCAGATCTCAGTTTTAGTGCTCATAAAACACTAGTTTTACATACTTAATTATAGGTCTTTTTAAAAATCCTGTTCCATATGCTGTTATGTTGCTAAGGTTCCATGCTCACTTTACTTCCTTCTCCAGTTTATGCCAGAAGCCATGATTTCTTAAATATCTCTTCTAAACAGAGATTGATGTACTTTTAACACACAGCTTTTATTCCTCTTGCAGTTAAGTTCTCTGCACAACATAATTCAAATTAACCGAAAGTTGCTAGAAGTTCTGGCCTACAGCAGGATCACTTCAGCTCTTCATCCTTAAAAAGTTATTATTCCTTCTGTCTTCATGAGGTTATTTTGTAGGTAACTTTTGGAAGAGACAAAACCCCAAACTTCTGGCCACACCACAATGACACTAAAGTAGCAACAGTTTTTGTAACTGCAGAGATTTGTTTATATAACCATCAGGCAAAGTTTACTAACATTCATCAATTCAAAACCTTCTGTACAACCTCTGTGTCAAAAATATAATTTGCAAGACTTTTATAGAACCTTTTGGACAAAGCATGCTTAGTTTATTGTTCACGCACATTAATGCAGCATCATATATTAAAATGCACCGTTTTCATTCTCTATGAATCATATGATCAACATAAATAAAGATAACATCTAACCCTTTCTCCTCTTAAGCTAAGAAGGCAGGCACCATCTATGTTAGCAGCATTTTCAGAGAGGCATGTACAATAAGAATCTCAGACTTAATTTCTTTTTCTGTGTTTATAATACAGTTACAGTTTGGAAAAAAATGCATCATTTTTATCTTCTATCTATAGAAACCTATGTATATATTTATATAAACCAATGTATAGGTATATATTAAAATCATACTTTAAAATACTATTTCCCACAATTTTGCTCACTTTTTTCATCTTGTCACATTCTATCTTGCTATTTGCTGCCATGTTCGCTTCTCCTGTTCAGTTTTCTGGGATCTTGCTTCCTTCCTCCCCTTCTTTTTAACTTTTCCCTTTAGTATCTTGCTACCATCTCCCCCCTGCCTTTTATTCTTTCAACTGATCCCTTTGCCTCCTACTTTCCTAATCTCTCTCCCTTCTGTCTACAACCCATTTGCTCAACCTACACACTCACTCACAGGTCCTCTTTTTTAAGTAGAAAGAGCAGCTATTAATTTATTTTCCATAAATAGACAATTACTCAGAAGTACGCAATAGCCAAAAAAGTCGCATGATGAAGTCAGCTGACTGCCAGAGCCTGAGGGCTGTAATTAGCTCCTGGGGTTTGTAAAATAATTTGAGATGTAGATGGCACTGGAACTGATTGCTGTCACCTGCTTTCTGAATAAAACCAGTCAATGAGGACAAAATAAGTCATTTTTTCTTCTGGCAAGATGCTCTGCTTTGCAAAACATTTCTTTGCTGACAAACTTCAAAACCCTGAAAATATACTGATATTTCATCAAAACAACAAAAATCTCCAGTATGGTTTATTTGAAAGTATCCGTTCCTTCCCTCTTGCCTCTCTGCTACTAAGAGGAATGTAATTGTTTTCTGAACGGTTCCTTGCCTCAAACAGAAATGGGCAACTATGCAAATAAAATGCTTAGCATAATTAATTAACCTCTTTTCCTTTAATAGCTATTTTCCTGAGCTTTCCCTAATACAAAATTAAGCAGGCAAGCACCAAACTCTAGCACTGGAGTTTTTATTTGTCATCTCCAAGTGTGCAACATTTATGGAATCAAGATACATTCTAACATTGACTGAATCTGAACAGAAAAATTCAGTTCAGCAGCCTTGTAAGACAATGTTTTTTGTTTGTGATTAAGGCAGCTATCACTCCTTTGCAAGGAAACATGTTTAGCACGTAAATGTAAAGCTAAGAAGCAGGTAATAAGATGCAGTTACAATGACCTTTTATGAAATATTTTTTTACTAATTGACTTTAAAACACGAAGCAGCTCTCTAAGGCGGTGCAGCACAGCCGTGCTTGTGTGGAGGCCTGAGGTAAGGGAGGGGCGACATTGTCCCCTAACGGGACCCCAGCACAGAAACGGCCCGGGGGCTCCCGCCTTCCCCCTCCGCAACACTGAACTCTCATCTATCGCTGCTGTATTTGCACTCCTGAGATTTCTAACAACTAGCAAAAAACTAAGGACCAGCCACAGGAAGACACAAAGGTTTATTTCTTCACAATCATTCTGCTGTTTTACACCACAGGGACTACAGCTGCTTTGCCTCAAATTTACTATGATGATGGAGTATTGGAAAAAGACAAGGAAAAGACCAGAGCACTGAAAATATGGAACTGGCAACCTCTTTGTGGACACAGTGCTTGGTGTTTCACCACATTCTTAGGCTTGAGGGACCGGCAGAAATCTGCCCTGGGCCAAATGAATACCAGACTTTTTTCCTGCATATTAATCAGAATGCATCATTCTGAAATGTAAACATAAAAATAGAAAATATCCTCTCATTTTCTCATACCCTACTTAGAAGCTTTAAAACATACTTCTTTCTAGAAGCAGAACATTGCCATGACAATGGCCAACAACCACCTTTCCTAGTCTTGTCAAGAATGGAAAGGAAGGCTGTACCCCCACCAGGCATCCCAGACCCCTCCACCGCGCACAGTGTATCTTATGGCCGGTTCTCTCCGGGAGAGTCCACCTTTGTAAGTGGGAAAGACAGGGTCTGGGTGTAGTTCAAAGTCTCCAAAATAACATTCTTAATAAAATCTGGTAGAAAAATATTGATTTTAGAAAGCACAGCAGCAACAGAATTAGATAATTATAATTAGGAAGTTGCAAAAAAAAAAGAGAATTACAGGTTTATTAACAACAAATCATGAGAAGTAAACAGTGAAAAGAATTTGATTTTGCTCCTCTTCTAATAACTCCCTAATATTTGAGACAGGCTGCATCCAGTTAAATTGAACAAATACAAAAAAATCCCAAAATTTGAATGGACAATGTAACATCCCTGCAAGTCATCGGGGGACTTGGCAGGATTCCAAGATTTAGACATTTAGGTGGGCAAGATTATTACTGGCTTTAAAACATGTTCATATGACTCAACTTAGCTACACTGAAGCAGCACGCTCTTAATTCTCACAACTTATTTAGATGGTCTTTGTTTTCACAGAATACATGTAAAGCTGATATAACAGACTTAGTAGAATCTACTAGATTAGCAGTTAGACATTAGCTTTAACTTTGATTCATGTTAGCCTTCCTAATTCCATTTCTAAAAATTACAAAAATAAATCTATTGTTCCATACACTGCTGCTCTTGGTACATTCTTTTCAGCTCTTCCTCCACCAGCTTTACTTCTCAGGGTTATCTTGTTGAGGAGCAATAAACTCAGCTGGAGCCAGTACTTTCAGAAGAGCAGCTCAAAGGATAAGAGTCTTCGCACTGTGACTGAAGCTATTAGAGGAAGTGTTCTAATGCTGCTCCTCTCATAAAAACCAAAGATAATGGGTATTTTGTCTACATATTCACACTGCCTGCACTAGCACCTGCAGCTGCATTCTTTACTATTTTTTGTATTAAAGCACATTGATTTTACAGATGTTGACAAAGTGCTTAAAAGTATTCTGCTATGCCAAAGTGCACAGAGCAGGGGTCTATAAAGGTGATTTCACAGCTCTTTTCAGCTCTAGCGTGGTATGTACAGCACAAAAGAAGACTAAATTCAGAGAGATAACAGACAGGGATTTGACAGATGAATGGCAGTACTTATAAAAAATGCTGTGCTGAACTGACAGAGTAAGTGATTCAGGAAGTTGCATACAGGTGTAAGTTTTGGTCTCACTAGTAATCCTGGTTTGGTCTTTGCCAAAGTGACACCAAATTTCTACATGAGTTGTGCTGCCTTTTTTTCATCTTTATTTTTTCTGCTCTCTTGACTCTGAAGTAAACTCAAATTACTGCATTGAAATCAGAGGATATTTTCTGTTATGAATTCCACTTCCACAATGTATAGCAATGTGCTGTAATAACAATGACAAAGAAAATTAAGGAATTAGATTACTTTGTTTTGCTTGCAAAAGTCTAGATTATGTGTTTATTCCCCAGTCTCTCTCATAATTATGCTTTAGAAGGATGTAAATAACACATACTGCTGTCATGAAAATGTCTACTTTGCTATTTTGATCCAGTCTTCTGTCATTCTATAAATTAGTATCCACTTTTATAATCTCAAAAGATCACAAAACACAGTGACACAGCAGTTCACCGCAAGCGGAATTGAAAACACCCTTGTCTCAACTGCTGTGTGAAGATCTTACCAGACTAGAGACATTACACCCTTCTCCCAAAGTTTCCTGGGAAGAATGCAGATTAACAGCAAAAACCACTTGATACAACCAGATGGGACTTGATTGTTAATAAGGAGATTGAGGAATTTTTTTCTCCTTGTAGAGATTTATATAGTCCACTTAGCAACAACAGCTGCAAAGACCTGCTGACAGCATCTTCCCATTCATCAATGATCCAGTAGATTGGAATCAGTGAAGACAAAAAAAAAAAGTAAAGGTCAGGAAAAGCCTATTAAGGCATTAAGACACGAATAGTCTTTACAAAATCTTAAGCCTTAATTGCTGATGAAGCAGCTAATTGTCCTCCACACCAAACTTGCCAGAGTATGAAATCAACTTTAGCAACAGAATTCTAAAGGTATCTATCTTTGCCTCTTCCACACTATGTGTGAATGGCATAA